GGTTCCAGATGTGGCTGGAAGAAAACAGAAGTAATATTTTGTCTGACAATCCTGACTTTTCAGATGAAGCAGACATAATAAAAGAAGGAATGGTTCGATTTAGAGTATTGTCAACTGAAGAGAGGAAGGTAAGGATAATTGTGCTGAGACTGAGAGCTTAGTGAATTCCCAGGTTTTAAAAATTCTTATAGAAAATGCCTTTCTCTGTTTTTGGAAATTGAATACATTTTGGTAAACTCTTTGTGGAGAGAAAATATAACAATGTCAGCTTTGAACATATAGATACATAATAATTATTATTTAGTGCTGTTGGTTAATTCTTTGACATTTACACTGTTCACATCTGTGTAAGTTTCAGCATAGCGTAAGTTAGGGGAATACGACTAGAAAAAGTGTTACTTATAAATCAAAAGCAAATAAAATTAATAAGTAAAAATGAAACTAATTCACATTTTTGTGCTACTACTTTAGGGTCCTTGTAAGCAGAGTTTCTTAAAATGCTGTGTATTTACACAATGACTACTAAATGAGAATATTGCTTTTGAGGAAAAAAGCTAGTGTTCTGTTCTAGCATTTCACATGGAAATTAGGACAAGTGGCTTGCACCTGTTGCTCCTCGTGTCAGTTTCTGCCACATGAAAGACTATGAGCAGCTTTCTTTTGCAAGGGGAAGGAATATGTGTGGTGTATCAATAAATCCTCGGACTTCCCTTCCCCAGGGATGGCATTGTGCAGCATCAGCACCTTGTGACGTGGATACTTACCTTGATAAACTGATTCTTATGAACAAAGATATTGCAAATGAGAAAGATAGAAACTGGTCTAACCACCTCTAGCCTCCTTTAGAATCTCATTAGCAACTTTGTGTTTCTCATTTTTCATAAGTATTTACAAAAGGATAAAAATTCTAAAGAATTAGATAAAATCACATCTGAATGAATAAGACCTTAAACATCAAAAGATGAAGAGACTTGGCAAAAGTTGTCATTATATGTTTGAATACTTAAAAATATAATCAGTATTTTTAGTGTAAACCTTGAACATTTCTTAAATCCAGTCTGTTAATGTAAGAAATTCTACAGCTGAAAGGGTCTCTTTTCAACAATAATGAATGGGAAAGAGAGTAAAGTAGGAGGTGGAGGAAGTGTTACAGATTAAAGAAGTTTGAGAGACAGATGAAATGAGTGAACCTTGTTAGTAAATAGAAGCCAATCCCAAAGAAATATATACTATATATAACATTCCCGAAATGACAGTGATAAGGATGGTGAACAGAGTACTGATTGTCAGGGCTTGGGGCCTGGGAAGGAAGTATGTGTGTGTGGGGAGGGGGTGGAACATGAGGGATTTTTGTGCTTATGGAACTGTTATATACCTTGAATGTGATGATAAATACACAGCCTCCAATAGAATTTCACACACACATAGAAGTAAAGAAGGGGGGATTTTATCAATGTCAGTATCCTAGTTGTAATAGTACACTACAATTTTGCAAAATACAACCATTGGGGGAAACTGAGTAAAGGGCACATGGGGTCTTTCTGTAGTTTTTCTTATAACTGCATGTGAATCTACAATAATCTAGTCTCAAAATAAAAGGTTTCTTTTTAAAAAACCTACCTGCAGTTATAGTATTTTATACTTGATATGGTTAATTACAAGCAGAATTTAGACTGAAATATAGAAGTAGAATGTAAATTTTTTAACATGCCTTGCAATTAAGTAATAAGAGATTTGTTAAAAATGAGAACAGTTAATGATTAGCTTAACAATTGAAGTGCTAATTATGCTGCTTTATATAAAGGATTGTTACCTGCAAAAGTAAAGAAATAATTTCCTTCCTATTTCTTCATTATCACCTAAAAATCTTTTCTTCTCCAATGTTTTACAAAGGCATGGGCTGCAAAGGCCAAAGGAGAAACTGTAAGTGATGGAGCTGAAGCAAAGAAGCGAAAACGTGTGGCAGATAGAAGTCGTGAAACTGAAAACCAGACAGAAAAAGCAAAGGAGAATCTTAATTTGCCTAAAAAGCAAAAACCTTTAGATCTTTCTACGAATCAGAAACTGTCAGCTTTTGCATTTAAGCAGGAATAGAGTAAGGGAGTGAATTTAGGAAGGTAATAGTTTTTTTTACTCATCTTTGATGAATCTGGGCCTTTTTAAAAAATCTTTAGGAAACTCATTACATATTTTTAAAAGCATTTAAAGACTACAGTTTGTCTTTATAAGATAATGTAGTAATTATCCTGTTGTAGGGAACAGGGCATGTATAAAAACTATCATCTCTGCAGATTGCTCTGCCCCCAGATGGAGGGCCATTCAGAAGCATTGTGATTGTGGTCACTGACTTGGGGCCACTGGCATGTCCCATTGGAAGCCAGTTTGATTTTGTTTCTTGCCTTCAAAATCATCAAAGCCAGGGTCTTATAACCTCTGAGTGTTGAACTGCCTTCTAGGGTTTTCCTCATTTGGTTTACGTAATGTACTGGGAAGTACTGCAGTAGTCCTTTTCCCAAGTGTGTTACCATAGACTGCTCTGTGTGTCTGTACTGGACCTAGGGGACTGTGTATTTTTTAATATAGGCCCTAAACATGTAAATAATTTTGCAGATGAGACCTTTTGTTTGTTTTGGCAGTGTCTTCATGTATGGCTTTGAGTTGTTTGTGTAGCCTGATTTTTTAAAAATAAAACTTTCACATTTCCATATTTAGCTTGATACAGTCTTAACATTGTATTTCCATGAAATGGAAATTTTCTAGAAAATATATTTTATGTTATGTTTATTACCATTATTTCCACCCCCCACCCTCACCTCCCGTTTCTGTTACACATTATACACACAGAAGAGAAGAACTGAAGATGCTGTTTTGATGGTGTTGTAGCCTAGCGCCTAGTGTGCTCCTAGTAAACTACTCTGGGTATCAACCTCAGCAGTGCTTTTCTGAGCAAGTCTTCGAAGCCTTGATAAGAGAGTAGTTGAAGAGTAAGGGAAAGTGTTCAACTCCTCTTATTTTGAACAAACAAGATTTAATTACGTATTTCATACATTTTTGGTTAGTATTCTAAGCAGAGCTTAATACAAATGCATCCACTTAATTTGGACAAATTACAGGGGTGAAGTTGGGTGGGCATGCAGTTGTAAAGTAAAATCAGGTGGCTCAAAGTTGAGAGTAGTTTCATAGTTACAGGTTGGAATGAACAAAACATGTTGAAAATTTAGATGTACGGGAGCCGAAGGATACTCTTTGTCTCATGATGGTTAAATTAAGGTTAGGAAGTGATTACATTTCTGATTTTTTAATTAGTAGCTGGTATTGAGAGACATTGTAGCACAGTGGTTAGGAACACAGATTTCAAAACCAGACTACCCGGGTTTGAAGACCACTGTAATACCTACCAGCTGAATAATGTTGGGCACGTTCTAGCCTGTGTCCACTCATCTGAAAAATGAGTATGATAATAGTATCTACTTCAGAGGGTTATTAGGAGAATTGTATGAGGTAAGAGTACTTAGTTCCTGGCACATGGTAATGTTTATATCAGTATCAGCTATTATTATTATGCTGTTGGCTAGTTCATCTTACTTTGTCATTAGGTTTGATTCTGAGTAATATGGGAATTAATTTTAATTTCAAGATCCTGAAGTAAGTTTATTTCTATTACTTTGGAAAGCATGTTTATAGACATATATTTTGATTTATTTCCTCAACTTGATATAATCCTTTAGTGTTTTATTTCAGGTCCACAGCAACCTGATAATACCAAGGATTTGCAAAAGGTTTTTTTAATTCCCTACTTTTGTTTGGTTAAAGGAAGGTTTTTGTGTTGATTGGGTTTAACTTGCAGATCAGAACTTTGGAACAAGAGATATCACCCTCATTTCTTTTCTATGTAATATTAAACTCCTTTTAAGGAAAAAAAAATTTTTTCACAGAATTGGAACTTAATGTAGGAAGATGGAAAAGGAAATAAATTAATGTATTAGCCACCATCATGATAATCAGTAGTACTGCCTATTCTGTGCTTATGTGCTGTAGAAAGTTGTCTTATGCTTAATTTCATTCTCCAGTAGAAAAAGCTTCTCAAAGAGGAAGTTATTTTATAGCTTTATACTCATGAGGGCATCATCTAATTATCCCAGTGAGCAAGTGAGTGAGGGCTGGGTTGTGCCTGCCAACTCTGGGCACTGTGGTATCCTACAGCCACTGTCAGTGCAGCAGCCTGTGGTGAGCCACTGCCGCTAGCATGGAACAGATCCCTTTAGACAAAAGGATGAGACCCATCTGCGAAGAAAGCATCTTAATCAGTGACTGATTGTCTTTTTTGTTTTCCAGCTGTTTTATTTTAGGAGTATATAATTTTTCCAAGGTGTTTATTTTGAAAATTTTCAGACCTACAGAAAATTTCAAATACTTCAGCGAACATATATATACCCTTTATCAGAATTGATTTTGTGTTCTTTTTTAATTTTATTCTTAATTTTTTTGGTGGGGGGGATATTGGGCTTATCTATTTATTACTTTTGGTGGAGGTACTGGGGACTGAACCCAGGACCTCGTGCATACCAGGCATGCACTCTACCACTGAGCTATATGCCCCCCCCCCAGGATTGGCTTACTGTTGATATTTTGCTGTGAATGCTTTATAAACAGGGTTTTTCCTGAACCATTTGAAATATGGATCATGACACTTCACCCTTAGATACTTCAGTATATCCCCTAAGAATAGAGACAGTCTTCTGTACAACCACAATATAATTTTATACCAAAGAAATTTAACAAAAGAATATTATTGCCTAACATATATTTCATAGTAAAATTTGTCCCTTTAGACTTTTTTCTACCCAGCCTAGGATCAGTTAAGAATATTGCATTGTATTTAATTATTAGAAGTATATACTTTTTTAATGAACTCTTTTTTTTTTGCTTTATTTTTTTCACTTTTTTGGGGGAGGGGTGGTAATTAGGTTTATTTACTTTGTTTTATTTATTTATTTTAATGAAGTTATCGGGGATTGAACCCAGGACCTCGTGCATGCAAAGCAAGCACTCTACCACTGAGCTATACCCTCCCTAGATGTATGTACTTCTTAATATAGGAAAATATGAGGTAGGACATTATCCCCAACCCTAATACCCAAAGATAACCACTCTTAACGTTTTAGTGTACATCATTAGGCTTTTTTCCCCCCACATAGGTGTGCAGTCCAAATTCGTGCTCCATAGATGTATGAAGAAAATAAAATAAAACAACTCAAGCCTGCAATTTAAAGTGTAGCCTTTTTGCTGGTAGTGTTCCTGTAATTAATACCAATTTCTGCCTATTCTGGAACTGTGTCATAAAGGGCGAAAATTGATGGAGTAGAAAATAAACATAATGGAATCAGAAAGCCAGAAGTTGGTTCTTTGAAAGACTAATAAATTAGAAAAGTATTTGGCAAGATTAAACATGATATAAAGAGAAAAGCATAAATAAGTGATATTAGGAATGAAAAGGTATTTAATAACTACAAATGATACAGATTTTGTAAAGATAAAAGGCTTACTATGGTCAGTTTTACATGTCAACTCGCTAGGCTATAGTTGCCAGTTATTCAGTCAAACACTAACTATGTGTTGCTATGAAGCTATTTTATAGATTGTATTAAAGTCCATAATCAGTTGACTTTAAATTAAGTGAGATTATCCTTGATAATCTGTATGGGCCTGGTTCACTCAGTTGAAGGGCCTTAAGAGCAGAACTGAGGTTCCCCTGAGGGAGTAGAAATTACACCTGTAGATAGAAGTTTCATCTCATGCCTGGGATTTTCAGCCTGCCTTTCCTGGATGCCTACCCTATGGATTTAGGGTTTCAGACTTACCTACCAGCCTCCACAGTCATGTGAATCAATTCCTTGCAGAAAATCTCAATATATATCTCCTACTAGTTCTGTTTCTCCAGTTGAACACTGACCAAGTCAAGACTTATAAATAGCTTTTTGACAATAAATGGAAAATTCTGATGAAATGAGCAGATACTGACAAAAGCAGGGTTAAAACTGACTCAAAACATCAAAAGACTAAAATACGTAGGAGTAAATCTAACAAATAAGTACGAAACTTATACTTTGAACTACAAAACATTGTTGAAAGACATAAAAGAAGACCTAAATAAATGGGAAGACATCTTCTGTTTAGAGACCAGAAGACTTCATAATGTTAAATTGGCAATACTCCCCAAACTGATCTACAGATTCAGTGCAATCCTATCAAAACCCAAGCTGGCTTCTTTGCAGAAAATGACGAGCTGATTGATCCTAATGTTCATATGGAAATTGAAGGGACCTAGACTAGCCAAAATAATCTTGAAAAAGAACAAGTTGGAGAGTTCACAATTCCCAGTTTTAAAATTTACTGCAAAGCTACAGTAATTAAGGCAATATGGTACTGGCATGAGAACAGACCTACAGATCAGTGGGATGGAGTTGAGAGTACAGAAATAAACTCACATTTACAGCCAGTTAATTTTTGACAAGATTGCTGGGACAATTCAGTGGGCCAAAGGATAGTCTTTTTCTACCAACAGTGCTGGGACAACTGGGATACATGCAAAAGAATGAGTTTGCACTCCTCTCACACCATACAAAAAATTAATCCCAAATGGATCAAGACATAAATGGAAGAGCTAAATACTGTAAGATTCTGAGAAGAAAACATAGGCGTAAGTCTTTGTGACCTTGGATTAAATAATGGTTCCTTAGATATAACCTCAGAAGCACAAGCAACAAGAAGAGTTATGAAGTCAATACCATCAAAATTTAAAACGTTTGTGCTTCAAAGAACACCATCAAGAAAGTGAAAAAAACAAGCCACAGAATGGGAAGTTTTTTTTGCAAATCATAATATCTGGTAAAGGACTTGTATCTAGACTACATAAACAACTCTTACAACAAATAACCCAGCTTTTAAATGGGCAAATGACTTTGAACAGACATTTCTCCAAAGACGATATACAAATGGCCAATAAGCACATGAAAAGATACTCAGTATTTTTAGGCATCAGGAAGATGCAAATTCAAAACCACAAAGAGAAATCACTTCACACCCACTAGGATGGCTCTAATGAAAAACATGAACAATAAGTGTTGGTGAGGTTGTGGAAAAATTGGTACCCTCAGACATTGCTGGAAGGATGTAAAATGGTGGTTTGGCAGTTCCTCATAAGGTTAAGCATAGTGTTATCACATCATGAAACATGTCCACACAAAAACTTGTATGTGAATGTTCAGAGCATCCTTATTTATAATAGTCAAAAAAATAAAAACAACCCAAATGTTCAACAAGTGATGAATGGATTAACAAAATCCAATGGAATATTATTTGGCAATAAAAAAGAATGAAGTACTGTTGCATATTACAACATGGACAAACCGTGAAAGCATCATGCTAAGTGAAAGAAGCCAGTCACAAAAGACCATATATTATATGACTTCATTTCCATGAAATGTCCAGAATAGGCGAATCTATAGAGACAGAAAATAGATTGGTGGTTGCCTTGAGCAGAGGGTTAAGAGGGAAGGGTGAGTGACTGCTAATGGGTAGAGGATTTCATTTTGGAGTGATGAAAATATTCTGGAATTAGATAGCAGCAGTGGTTGCACAACTCTGTCAATTTACTAAAAACCACTGAATTGTACACATTAAATAGGTGAATGGTTGGTATGTGAATTATGTCTCTATAAAGTTGTTATTTAAAAAATTGACTTGTGGTACAGACCTCCAGTTGCAAAATAAGTGAGTCATGGGTGTGAAGTATATAATGTGGAGAGTATAGTCAATAATTATGTAATATCCCTGGCCATAGATCATAACTAGACTTCCCTCATGGTGATCGTTTTGAAATGTATAGAAATACCGAATCACTCCATTCTATAACAAGAACTAACACAGAATATAGAAAAAGAGATCAGACTTGTGGTTACCAGAGTTGGGAGTTGGGGAAGGGGAAATTGGATGAAGGTGGTCAAAAGGTACAAACTTTCAGTTGTAAGATTAATAAGTGATTAATAAGTACTAGGGATGTAATGTACAACATGATAAATATAATTAACACTGTTATATGGTATATATGAAAGCCAAGAAAATAAATCCTGAGTTCTCATCACATGGAAAATTTTTTTCTTTCTTTCATTTTGTACCTATATGAGATAATGGATGTTCACTGAACTTATTCTGATAATCATTTCATGTTGTATATAAGTCAAATCATTCTTTTAAACCTTAAACTTACACAGAACTGTGGGTCAATTATATCAATAAAACTGGAAGAAAAAAATAAAGAAATAGAAAATCTAAATAGTTTATAACCAATATTAAAAATTAGTCTATATTTAAAGTTCTTTAAAAGAAAATCCCAGGCTGGGTGAATATAAAGTCATGTTCTGTCAACAGTCAAGTAAAAGTTACAATCTTATACAAATTATTGAATATAGCAGCTGTCATAACTGATAATGAAACCTGACAAGTTTAGTTTAAGAAAGAAAATTATGAACCAATCTCACTCATGAACATAGAAGAAAACTAAATAAAAATTTTAGGCCAGATCCAACATTGTATTTTTTTAAAATACTATTTAGTTACCCCATTGACTTAATCCCAAGAATACAATGTTGGTCTAATACTAGAAAGCCAGTTAATGCTGATTGAAGGGCAAAATTAAAATATCTTGCATAAAAGCATGTATCTTGTTCAAAGGGGTTTGTGGCGTTCTGTTTTTCTCTGTTACTTTATAGAATTAACTTTGGATGTTACTGAACCATGTCACCCAAGGGCTCATAAACACACTGATATTTTTATGACAAGGATAGTAATAGCAGCATAAATATAAATTACTGCAAAACTTGTTAAAAAGAGAAGAGTGCTACTATTCTTTCCATTGAAAACTGTATTTCATTTGCTAGGTCTCTGTCTCCTGTTTCTCCTGGTATATTTTTCTTTTGTATTGTATGCACCTCTTGTAATTGTGGAGACTTGTCGATCTCACCAAGAGGCCCAGGTTTTCAAGGGCATAGTTGATTCAGTATAAGGTTTGGAGCTTGATAGGTTTAGGGTGTATATTCTGCTTCTACCACTGGAGTTATGTGGCCCTGGGAACCACTTAACCTCCTAAACCTCTGACTTTTTGTTCTTGTATGGTCCTTGTAATAAAGGTGACAGCCACTTTCTGCTCAGACCCCCTTCTCAGAGAATCTCATAGGTCATGTCCCCAGAGACTGCCACATATCCCTTGCTATCACTTCCCCAGGCTACAGCTGCATTAGAAGTGCACAGCTGACTCCAGTATTCAGGGATCCCATCTCTCCCCCTAAATGTGGAATTTGGACACAGAGCAGAATCAGTTCATCTGAGGAACTAAGCTACACAGGCATATAGAAGCAAGTGCCACAGCTGTAGTAGGGAAAACCTAGAGTGGTGGGGAAGCAGAGAAATCACTGAGCAGAGGAAATCCATCTAGCGTAAGTGGAAAAGTGGAGAAAAAATTTAAACAAAAATTGTCAGGTCAACATTATCTTGGCTGCTTCTGTGGCTCTGATAACAAAAATTCTAAAGAAAGAAAGGTGACGAGCTGGCTGTCTAATTCTTAAAGAGAAGTGTGGAGCAGATGAATGGCAAATATGTTCGCCCAAGTTTGGCACCTGGCCCCAACAAAGAGTGTTCCTCCCTGAAGACAGCTGGATTGGAATTGATATAGATGGTTTTTCTAAAGAGGGAGGAGCATTAATGTGGTTCATTGAGATAGAGGCTTTTCATGACATTTCTTCCTCTAATGTTATAGCAGCTGATTAAAAATAGTAGCTGGCATACCTAGAATATGTAAAGAACTCATAAACTCAGCATTAAAAACAAAACATAATCCAATTAGAAATGAGCAAAAAGACATAAACAGACATTTCATTAAGAGGATATACAGATGCAAACACTTGAAAAGAAGTTGAAGAGCACTAGCCGTTAAGAGAAATGCAAATTGAAACTACAATGAGATATCACTACATACCTGTCAGAGCAGCTAAAAGGAAAAAGTAGTGATAACACC